CTTTGTCTCCAAACTCCTGGAGTGTAATGCTAGCCCCTGCATTTTTTACGTTCTTTCTTTAAACTTCTCTCTCTTGACCACTTACAATCTGGCTTCACTCTCTGCCCTTCACTGAAACTGCCCATACCAAGCTCACTGGTATTCTCCTTGCTGCCAAATGTCCATGACCACTCTGCCACTCAGGACCAGACTTCATTGGGCTCATGGCATGACACCGCAATGACTCCTGCCCAGTGCCAACCTGGTATTGCAGCTGCCTCTGCCATTGCCATTAGAGCAGGCATGGCCAAACTTGGTCCTACAGATGTTTGGGGACTACAACTCCCATCATCCCTAGCTAACAGGACCAGTGGTCACGGATGATGAGAATTGTAGTCCCAAAACATCTGAAGGGCCAAGTTTGGCCATGCCTGCATTAGAGTCTCTTCATAGTTTGTCTGCAGGCTGTCTGCTGTTGTTGCTATTAGGTTGTATCCAGTGCTAGTCCTGCTCAAATCAGACACATTGAAATGAATGAACCTAAGATAGTCATGTTCATTCACTTCAGTGGGTCTCCTCAGAGTAGTGCTAGCATTGGATACACCCTGTTGTTGCCATTTAATATTATGTAGACTCGTTAGTTGCTTATTACCCCAGGGTTTATGTTTATGTTTCTAAACATAATTACATTATCTGATTAACAAATTCATACAGAAAAACAGCTGCAATTAATTAAAATAAATACACACACAATGCCCCCCTCCCCAAAAAACCACAGGAAGCTTTGGCAGCACACTAGTAACAAAACAACATAATCTCAGTCCATCAGTAGAGTGGGGAAAAGGGAAGTCCCCTCACGAAGGAGAGCTTTCCGCATATAGGGAACCACAACTGAAAAGTAACTCTGCTTACCCCCTCCTCTCTACAGACATGTTTACCCAATGTTGACAGCATTTAGCTCTGTGTTGCAGCAGGCAGCTGACATGTTTAAATTCCCCAATATGTGATGCCTGGATTCAACATTGGGCATTGGGGAATCTAATATAGTGAGTACCCCATAATATTATGGAGTCAAGACCTGGCTCAGCTCCCGCAGTCTGTACTACCGCTGCTGGGTAAGCATCTGTAGAGAGAATAGGGGGATGAGGTGAATGAATGAGAACCACAAGCAGTCACAATGAGCAAGGGCTGTAGCTTAGGAGGGGCACACATGCTTTGCATGTAGGAAGGCCACAGGTTTAATCCCCACCATTGTCTCCAGGTACAGCTGGGAAGGTTCACAGCATAAAACCCTGGAGAGCCACTGCCAATCACAATAGACAGAACTGAGTTAGATGGGCCATTAGTCTGACTTGGTATAAAACAACTTCCTATGTTCCTAATCAGGACCAGCCCAATACATTTGGCACTTGAGACAAAGCCCAAAATGGTGTCCCCCTCCCCACTAGGGATGAGTGGGTGGGTGAAGATTGACATCAGGAATAAGGGGTTCCTTTGATGGCAGCAGGGGCGCTGTTCAGGTGTCTCATTGGCAGCGGGATCAGCAATGGGCCTTTCTGAGTCCCTGGGGAGGTGCCTGACCATGCCAGTCCCTGATGCCAGCCCTGCTGCTATCTACAGGTGAACTCTGCTTCCTGCTTGACCATGGCAATGTTCTTCTCTTCCTCAAATGGGGTTTCCCTTGTTCCTCTGTGATTTTCTCTTTATACACAGTCCCTGAGTGATCTTGTACAATCCTATGCCATTCAGTACCATCCATAGGCTAATAACACCCAGCTCTACCTTTCTACCCCAGGTCGCCCTGTGTCTCCAGTGTGCTTGGATGCTTCATCACTGTCTTTAACCCATTTTGTCCCAAACCTAACTTCTCATCACTCCCCAAAAACCCTCTCCTCATCCTCCTCTACACTCCATATCCATTGACAGGTGCTTGATCTTTGACTCCTTGCTCTTCAGCCTGTTGTCAGGTCACATCTGTTCCACAGTTTACAACATCACAAAAATGTGCCCCTTTTTCTCTGCCTTCTTGGCGAGAAATCTGACTCTGGCTCATGCTATGGTCACCTCCTGTCTTGGTCACAACAGCCATGTCTCAGCTTTTATCCACTTTACTTCTGTCCAGAACTTGGAGCACAGACTTGTTCAGCTATACATACATCTTACACCACCATCCTAGCTTCCTCTATTTTTCTAGATCCATCACAAACGCATTGGGCTTACTGTGCCCAAACTCTCTGATCTTACATATTATTTATTGATTTATTGTGCTCATTGACCACTTTTTGTTGCATCATAACCCCAAAAGCTTTTCCAATACCCTTAACAAACAGCATGTCATTAAAATACACGAAACACGGTTAAACATTATAACCCATTTCTTTCTTTCCTTTTAGAAAGATTTACAAGTCACTTAATCACTAAACTCTGTAATATAATAAATAGTAGAAATATAATATTGATAACATTATCAATAAAACATCTAAAATTGCAAAAAAACATTTTAAAGTATTGATTTAAAAAATCTCAGATAAAATCAGTAAATCTTTTAAAACCAACCTAGATTGCAGAATTATATGACTGAGTAGACTTGATGAAATAACTTCTCATCAGAAGTCTAATGAAATATAGTGTGCACCTCTGTATTTTATAATATATGCAATTATTGTAGCAGTAACAGCCCAACAATGTATATCCTGATATATTCCTGCCTGTAACCTTTGTTCCTCTATTGCCCCTATCCTTAGCTCGAAGGTCTCCTGCTTCTGCAAATGGCTTCACCCTGCCTCCCTTGCTAACAGGGATGGTGATAGTGGTTAAGGCAGTAGGAGTCAGGCTTATTTGGGGGTGGTGTGTGTGTAAAATGTTGGCATAGTTGTGGAAGAGCCCCAGTTCCCTTATCTGGTTGGAGGAGCAATGGGGTGACTCAGTGGTGCCTTTGGGAGCCTTGGTTTCAGGCCTATTTAACTTTGTGCAGGGTCCTCTTTTGTGGCTTTTGAACAAATTCCCCCGTCAGAATCTTCCTTGCATCTTGGGGGGGGGCTGGGGGGGGAGCAAGCCAGAAGCGTTAAACCGCTTAGTTAATCGGCAGCCAATCCATCATGTTAAATATCCAGCTGTCATATATTACCTTTCAAGTGAAAATGAATAACTCCCATTAAGGGTGAAATGGGTTTGAAGTCGATTTGAGACAGATTAAAGTACTGTTCTGAATGTGTGTGTTCAGGGGGGCTAGGTGTAATATACTTGTCCTTGTAGTTTTTAAATAATAGATGCCCTGCAGATTTATGTGCTCCAGGGTACAGAGTTCAAAGGTCATAAGGCGGGCATTCTGGGAAGAGCATCAACTTCCTGGAACACACCAGAATGGTGTTCATTCTGCCTTTCTGGTGTTTCAATGGGTATGTGTGACCAGTCTGGCCAGTTTTGCTATGTTTGAAAGAGACAGAGAGAGGAAATGGTGAAGGAGCTTATCTTGGCATCTACGAAAGCCTGCATGCCTATCTCTAAATTGCAGCAGGAGGTATTTATTTTTTATTTCAACCATTTGTATACCGCACAATCAAGAGTCTTCTCTGAGCAGTGTACAGGAGACTAAAAAGGAGTTTAAAACTATAAAATAAGAATTCAAGCCTGCTGGGGGGAAAGTCTTCCATAAGTCCTGGAAGTTCAACGGGGAAGGGGCCTGCCTGATCTCAATGGTGATAAAACTGAACCCACAATAATTGAACCCACAATAATGAATGCATTGCGCCTTGTGTATGACCCATGCATCCACACCATGGGGGGGGGCTATGTGACTCCCCAAAATACATCAGAGATTGAGTGAGAACATAAGGGATCAGGTGGTCCCTGGGGTATCCTGGGCCCAGGTTATTATGGGCCTTGTAAACTGACACAAGAACATTGAAGCTGGCCCAGTAGCGTGTGGGCAGCCGGTGCAAGCTTTTAAGCACTGGTGTTATGTGCATGTTTGATGCAGTGTGAGGTAGATGATGTGATTGTCTTGGGTGGGTGGGAGTGTCAGAACCTCTCAAGCCACCTGTGTGTCCCCCACCATCCCAACTACATGGGTCTGCCATGCCCTTCCCTTTGTTGACTCAAATTGCATTAGAAATCCATGTCGAGTTTTAGCTTTGCTTGTTGTCTGCCTGTGTTCATTCACCAGAGTAATTCCAAAAGCACTAATGGACATCAGTGTTATCCTGGAATCAGGCTTGGAGAGTGATTATTGACATGGAGCATGCAGGGGTGACTGAAGAGTAAAGTTGTAGCATGTGTGACTCAGCTGGGCTCACCCACAGTCTGGCTGCATTGGTCCGTGGAAGGAAAATGGTTCTTAGTCAAAATGGAAAGGGACATTTTTTGAGATATTTTTCTCCCCCTAAAAAACAGTGGGGAGATTAGAATGTTGCAGGGGCATTGCAGGGAGAAAGCACCAACCAGCACATATTTTATTTTATTTATTGAAAAGCATTTACAAAGCACTTACAATTTTAAAATCTCCAACGAACCATATCATTAAAACAAAAATGCAACATAAAACTCACAAAACAATAGTACAAAAATAGGAATTTGAGGGGATTCAAGTAAAAGTGCCTAGAAAGCCTGGGCCAAATGGCCCTTTTTGGGTCACTGCCCTATGATATTCTCTAGGGTGCGGTACCATAAGTAGAATTTCCCCAGGTGATCTAAGGGCTTATACAGGTTTATTCAGGGACCTTCAGGTAATCCAGTTCATGCTGGTTTCAGGTTTTCCACAACTGTAGTGCATATCTGGCATGCAGGCACTGACCCGATTTTGACGATGATGATGATGATTTGCAGCCCAAAGCCTCAAAAGTAATTCGGAATGAAGATTCAGAGCATGTTTGTGTAAAGGAATGGAACTGAGGAGCAGTGCAGAATGGGAGGCTTGGCCATCTGTGAGGAATTCATAGATGCCGTTCTTGCCTCCAGGTTCTTCCAGAGCTGAGGTGTGACATAGTCATGCAGTTGTTTCTGTCCCCTTTTTTTTTTTGCAGCACATGTTACCCCAGCTGAAAAGGAGCTGACAGAGTCCCCAGCATCCTCTAAACGTATCTCCTTTCCGAGAAGCTCTGAGTCGCCTGTCACCAAATGGCCTAAAACATCAGATGATACCAAGCTGGAGCAGGTGAGGCACTGGAGCAACTGGCACTTGCTTCTGCAAAGTCATGGCTCAACTTCCTTCCTTCCTTCCTTCCTTCCTTCCTTCCTTCCTTCCTTCCTTCCTTCCTTCCCATCCATCCTTATATTCAACTTTTAAATCCACTTGGGCCCACAAGGCAGTTCATAGTGAAATTGTTTTTTTGATTATTCTTACTGTGTAAATGGGCAGTGTGTTTCAAAAGGTGTTAAAAAGGTGGAGGAAGACACCTGTCTTGCAGCCTGACCTTATCAAGGCTTTATTCTGCCAAAGCTTGTGATGTCTTCTTGTCCTCCAGGTATATCAGTGCCCATATTGCAAGTACAGTAACACCGATGTCAACCGGTTGAGGGTCCATGCCATGACTCAGCACTCGGTCCAGCCAATGCTTCGGTGCCCTCTCTGCCAGGACATGCTCAGCAACAAGATCCACCTGCAGCTGCACCTCACTCACCTCCACAGTGTCTCCCCGGACTGTGTGGAGAAGCTCATTTTGACGGTGAGTCCCTATATTGTGGGTGGGCAGCCTGCACCTCTCAGCCAAAGAAAGGGAGGGCAAGAGGCAAGGAGGAAATAAAGTCCCCTGCGAGCAATTGGTTTTGACTTCTTGGAAAACCAACCCATCCCACCCTGGCAATCACCTGGGGAGGTGGGAGAACGAAGAGTGGTGGTAGCAGAAAAAGCGGGTGACCCCCACCCACTGATGGACGTGACAGATTACCCCCAAGAAAATGTGGCCCTCAATGGGGAAAATGTTCCCCACCCCCAGAAGGCCTATCTTGCCTGCATTATTTCTTCCCTTCCTCCTCCTGCTCCTGCTCCTCCTCTTCAGTGAATTGCCCAAATTCAACACACCTGCCAGTAGGCAAGCAGATACCAGGCACTGTTGAAATGCCACCTCTTGAGTAGTGACCTGGGCCAGCAATACAAAAGTAGGAATTGGGCCTTCCTTTAGCACAGTGTGCTACAAGGAGTGTGCAGCAGGGAGACAAGGCTGAAGCTTATTGTGACATCACCGGCCAGGGGAACACATGCAGAAGGTATCCCAGGTTCAAACCCTGGGAATATTCCTTGCCTGAAACCCCGGAGTGTTGTTGCTGCTAGTTCGTATAGACAATACTGAACTCAGTGGACCAATGGTGTGACTTGGTATAAGGCAGCTTTCTAAGCTCCTCAGGCAAGTGAGCTGGTCCCACAGGACTGAGGCCAGAAGAACTGCTTTGATGGATAGGACTGGGGTCCTTTATTGCCAAGCCCACTTTCTGACACTGACCACCCAGATGCCTCTGGAACCTCCAAGAAGGGCATGGAGCTTTTCTCCGGATCTGGTATTCAGAGGTAGATTGCCTCTGAACATAGGGATTCCATTCTGCTGACATGCCTAATAGAAGAGGCATCCTCCATGCATTTATCACTTTTTAAAACTATCCAAGCTTAGTGTCCACCTGTTACCACATCTTGAGGTAGGAAATTCTACATGCTAATTATGCATTATCTGATGAGGTGCTTTCTTTTGTCTTGTCTAAATGGCCTACACATTTTTTGTTCAAAGTTTTTCTATTGCACAAACTTGCCTCTTCCTGTTAAGTCCCTTTTGCTGATTCTGCTCTGATTGCCCTTTGCCTTGACTTTGCCTTCCCTTTCCTCACCAGTTCTTTCATCTCTATTCAAAATCCAGCAGCGAAGTACCATATCCAGCACAAGTGTCTTGCCTTTATCTTTAGAGCTCTCCAGGGCTTTCCTTCCCTCGTTTGGCTTAAGTCCTTACTGTGCACACACCACTACAGGGAATCCCAAGTAGTACATGTGACTGTCTTTGTGTGTCTTCATCCACTCTGTCCCCAAATTCCTCCATATCCCCTCTTGTTGAAATCCACGTTCTAAACCTGTCCCTTTGCATTTGTGACCGTTAGGTGCCATGCCCACTGATGGCACTATTATAAACAGTTGAGGGCGACCTTACCTAGGCAGCAGAAGAGCTGTCCTCCCAATCCCATAAGCTGCTGCTGCTGCTGCTGACCCAGCCTCGGCATGAAAGAGCCTTTTTGCTTCCAGGGCTCTCCCAGAATGTCACTCATGATTGCTTGAAAGCGCATTCTGATCCTTGCCCCAGCTACTTGTCGTCTTGAGTTTTTCCTGACATCAGTCTGCCCAAGAGATTGGCAAGAGGATGCTGCTCCTAGAACGGCAGGGTCCCTTCAGAGCTCTTGTGAGGGCCCCTCTCTGGCCTTTGCACTGGGGCTGGGAGAGGCTTCTGTTAATCTTACTTAATCATGTGCCTTTCAGGAACCTGCCATGTTTAATATGACTGTTGCCATAGCAACAGCTACTTGCTGATACCATGGTGTGCCGTGTATCTGGGTATTCCACAGTGCCCCCCTCTTTCCCTGTCAACAATAGCAGGGGAGCCCTCTCCCCATTTCGTCAGAGGCCTGTTGTGCTGCGCTACTGTCTGTGGGGCAAGGGCAATTATGAGAGGGGTGTTGTACACCAGCTGATCAGCGATTGGGGTTGGGGTGAGGTTGTGAAGACCAAAACTGCTGCTGCAGTTCTGATTGGGGATGGTATGTTGCCTTCTCTATGCTCAGCACTGACTTATCCCCCAGCTTTTAGTGTTGTGGCTGATTCACTTTTCGTAGGACTGTGTTGATTTGGCAGAATCATCAGAGGGGCTGAAGGCAGTAAAAAAGCTCTTTTTCTTTCTTGCCTTCCATCATTCATCTGTCTTTCCTCCCCAGTTGCATTCTGGTGCTGTTTCTCTCCCTACTTGCATCTTCTCCTCTCCCCATTGTGTGTCTCTCTCTCCCTTCCACTGTCATTCGGTCATCCTCTTTACTCCCTCATCTCACCCACCCCCCCCCGGTCTCATTCCCCATCTCGGATGAAGGTAATGAAAATAATCGGCCTTCATTAATTCTGAGCCCTGTGAGATGATAGCCATTTGGAGCCATGTTTGCCAATTAGATGGTCTAAATTAGAAGTGACCTTGGTATAGTGCCATCGCTTTGCCTCTCTGAGCCTAATGAAGCTTTTCTCTCCAGCACACACACTCCTGCCCGCTCTCCCTCTCATTCTTTGTAATGGAAATTGCCTCCTTTGTCTGGCTCTGGAACCTCGTCTTGTACAACTCCCCCCTCCCCCATTGCACGGACAGAGGAGATGTTAATGTGTCTTCTCAGTCAGACTCTTGCTGGAGGTTTCATTTTGGACCAATTAGATTCCAGCCGTTGTAGGGGGCAGGGAGTGCCTGAACTGACAATGGGGTCTGATACAAGAAGATAGTAGAGGAATGGGCTTCATTCCTCTCTTTCTTCATTCCTCTCACTGCCTAGGGTAGTGTCTCTTTTCGGAGAAGGCATAGGGGAACACCTGGGCTGGGTACCAGCTGACATTTGGGATCTTGCAATGCTCAGACCCACACTGGTAGCTTAAACTACAGGGCATTGTCAAGTAGAAGGGGCAGGTGGACATGCCACAATGCTGCAATCTGTAGTGCAAAAGTGGGCCACGGGCAGAAATTAAGTCTCTTGCATGCCATTTGGAAGCAACAAGGAAGGGGCTGCACACTGGTTTGCTTTCCACCAGCTTGGCTCCCTCCAGGCATAAATCCCTTGATGCCATTGGTGAACAAAATAAGGTTAAGCCAGCTTTGGTCACCTCTTCTGAGCAGAACTGGTGTTCCTTGTTAAAAGGATCTGTAGCTCTCCACTCATGACTACTGCTTGCTGAGGAGCATGTCCTTGAGGGAGCTGAAATGACACCTGGGGTGTTGCTCAAGTCACTTCTTAACAGGGCCCTTTGGTCCTTGGGGCATCCCTCCCCATCTCAGCCTCCTGCCTTTAAATGCTTGGGGGGTGGGCAGTATGCCACTAGAGAAAGGGAATGAGTTAAGCACACCTAAGGTGGGAAGGAAGGAAGAACTGGTTGGCTTGCAGCAGCAGATTGAAATGCAGAGGAGCACGTGAGGTTGATGATTATATTTCAGGGAGAGTTAATTGACGGAAGGTGAAGGCAGACAAAGAATCGCTGCTTACTGCCTTCTTGAATCCCAATCAGGAATTATGATTAAAGACGCGGCAAGACAACAGACGCTTGATGAATTGGTGTCTCTCTCTCTCTTTCTCTCTCCCTCTCTCTCTCCCCCTCCTCTCTTTTTGGTTTTGCCGTCATTCACACTTGATTGACTTCAACCTTTCAAGTGCAAAAGCCTCTCTTTCCATTATTATTCGTAGCCATCTCAGTTTTTCTAATTAAAGTGTATGAAAACAATTACTGATCCATCGTACTGAGTCTGGTAGTGGGGGTGGCTACCGTCCTAGTTTTGTGGGGAAAGACCATGATTTGCTGTAATAATGTGCAACTTAGGTTAGATAACATTATTCTTTTTCTACTCCGCTGGGCCTTTCCCCCACACTTTCTTTTGAATTATTTTCATAATTTCTGTAGAGGAAGAGAAAGTGCCTGTCCTGTTGATAGTGCTAAGAGTGGCACTTGTTGTTCCTTCCTGCTGTCTTTCCTCTTCCCACTTCCTTCATCTCTCAAATCCTACCCTCGGGGCTACTCTGAGCCCCATCTCTCCATAGGGGATGGTACAGCCTTGAAAATGGACAGGAATGCTGGAGGGGATTTGTTGTCCCTCCTGGTTCATCTCCCTCCAGAGACAGGATTTGTTCATTCCTGTATGGCCTCTACATGGTGTGTAGCCAGGATCCCTGGAAAAAGCCCTCTGTGCAGCTTCCCAGGTCCACTGACTCCAGGCCTCCTCCTTCTCACTGGGCATTTACTTACGTGAATTTGCCATGGGTATTACTAGTCAGTGGATACTAGTAGTGCCCTTCAGTGGTTGTCAAAGCCAAATAGGCAGAACAGTTACAATAGGAATATACAGAAACCAGTTTGAGGGAGAGCATATTGGCCTTTAGGGCAATTGTACTTGAGACAAAAACAAACACTGAAGACAAGGATTAGAGCTTTCTCCTTTCTACAAATGAATGAAAAGTGGGGTGTCTCTATGTAACCCATGTAGCCCAAGTCAGAGCCCTGAGGCATCAGCCAGTCTTTGTAAAGCAGAGTACTTGCTTTTTCACAAAAAGAGGGGAAAGTCTTCCACTGGATCAGCTTTGTGTCCGTCTTTTATTTTGTGCTCAAGCAAACAAGGAGTTTCTTGTTCCCAATAGTTTTCATACTCATTTTTCCAAATTGTGTGTGTTTGGAGCAGGAGGGAGTGTGTTTCATAAAGTAAGACAAGAATGGACTTTTGCATTCAGGTCAAAGATGAAAAAAGTTGGGATGATAGAAAAACAAAGACATTTTACAGATGAGGAAAAACTAATCTGATGTATGAAATGATTTAATAGAAGGTCAAAAGATGAAAAGAGACAATATGTATGTTTCTACTTTGAAAACAAATAAATACATATTGTCTGTTTTTAAATTGTCTTTATACCTTATATTAAATAATTTCATACATCAGCTTTGTTTCTGCTCATTTGTAAGGGTTCAGGACACCGGCCATCTCCCCATAATTCTTTTTCCAGCTAGTTGCCTGTAGTTTTCATACTCATTTTCATACTCATTGAAGCACCCTCGGGAGTAGGCAGCAGCCACCCCTTGTTCATTGCCACCCTTTAGTTTGCTGCTGCCTCTCAACCACCACCATGGACAGACATACAGACACATCCCGCTCATGAATTCATTTAATGCTTTTTAAAAAGCCATCAAAGAAGGAAACATTGCCACATCGTGAGGCTGTGAATTCCTTCAGCTCAGTAGGTGTTCTTTGAAGAAATACTTCATTGGTGTCAGTTTTGGACCTATTGCCAATCAACTTGAGAGTATGACCCAGATTTCTAGAATTTTTTTGGCGTGTGGGGGAGGTTCCCCACCCTATCATTCATTACCCCTATCGTGCCACTTGTGATTAGTCATCTTCCCCCAAAAAAACTAAAAAGTTGAACGTTTTAGCAGCCTTTCCTTAAAGAGACTCTGCTTCTCCGAGCCATGATATTATTATGTATTTTATTTTATAATTGATATCCTGTAAGAAAGGCAAGATATAAATATACTGAATAGTCGTGTCATCATCATCATCATCATCATCATCTATTGGAGTCAGCCTACAATGTTAATATGAGCCAGGTGCTTTGATTGTACTGGTTAAAAAAAACAACACACCTTTAAGCAAGTCTACAAAGACATATAATTTAATTATGTTCATTTGTTTTGTTTTGTTTTTAAAAGCTCTAAGGTTTTACCTATATTTTATTAATTTTGTTATCTTCTACTTTTAAAGTTAGTTTAATTGCTATTTTTATTGACTTTGTTACATGTTTCTGTAAACCACTTGGAGATTGTTTTTTATTAAGCAGTATAAAAAATTTTGCTAAATGAAATAAATACTAAATGTAATTGGACAGGGGAGAACTTTACATAGTGACTTTAAATATGGTTGCAGCATAGATTTATTTAATGGCATAATGGTGCCTATTATTTTATTTTCCAAGCCCATATATAATGATTTCTAACTCTGGATCTGCTTATTCCCATCACCGCTGCAGCCTACAGAACTCTTGTTTGAGTGAGCAAAATGGCTGCTGTCCATTCTGGTAACGTTTGCTTTTGAGTGCCGTCTTGTATGTGTGCCACTGATGCTGCCGGCTCAGGCCCAGCAAAGGCACTGCTGTTCGCCAAACAACCGGAGATGGCTCCTGCTAGAAATTAGCACAGCTTCCTTTCTGCAGAAATGCATCATCAGAAGGCAACCATTGTGGCCATCCCAGCTATGATCTCAACTTCATCATCAGCATGCGACAGCCAATATTTTCAAGAGTGCATGATGATCTTTGCATGCCTGTGTAGGGACCTACATTTGCTCCTAACGTAGACCCTTTTTTATCATCATTTATGGGTGCCTATTCAGTTCATTGTATTCTTTTCAGCCATAACAAATGTGGATGGCTGTGTGTTTTCCTCAACGTTGACCTTCTGGCCTTTGCTATCAAGAGATCTTGCTTGTTCTTTGAGCCCAAGTGAAGAGGAGGGCTGTGCTGTTGCTGCTTTTTCTGTTGATGTGCAGAAAGGGAGGCTGAAGCTTCTTCTTTGCCTGCCAAAGACAATCTGCTGTCCCTTCCATTTATCTTTCTCCTGCCTCCCTTGACACATCTCTCTTTCCTTTTCTAGCTCCTCCTTTTTTTGTATTAAGCCATTTTGAAAATAGTGCTACTACAGCCCTTCCTGGTTCAAAACTGCAGTGAGGTTTCCAATATGTGGTTTAATTAAGAGCTTCCTTACTTTTTCAGCCACTTAAGATGGGCCTTTCAACATACCTACCTAATCAGTTGCGTAAGAAGTTTCACAGCTATGACAAAACATTATCAATGATCAAAGATGGAGCTGAGCATAAAGGAAAATATGAATAATACTATTCTTTGAAAATGTGCCCCTAATTATGTCCAAAATGTAACAGTGGGAACGTTTTGGGCTGATTTAAACACCAGTCTGTGTAGGGGCTCAAGACTGACAACATATTAAAAGTTTTAAAGACATTTTTGCCTCTCTGCTTCTCTTTTGGGTATCTACAGGTGACAACCCCAGAGGTTATGATGCCTAGCAGTATGTTTCTTCCAGCTGCAACACCAGATCGAGATGGGAACACCAGCACGGATGAGTCAGCCAAGCAGCCTGGTCAGTACCGACTTTAATTGCTCAGTTGGAGGCACTTTTTCCTCAGGGCTTTCAGATGCTCCAGAGTCTAGAAGTGACTCTTGGCATGTTTGAGCTCTTCTGCATTCTGCACCTTCTTTTTGGGACTCTGAGTGGGTGATGATACTTAGCCTGTTTGGCAGCAGAGGCGAGTCTTTCTGTGGTCTACAGACCCAAATTGAGTTTCTGGTGCTTGAGCCAAAGGCAGGCGGAACTCTGTGAGTCTGGTGCATGACCAAGGGTGTATCAGTGCCATATTTAGGGGGTCAGGTGGTTCCCCTGCACAGGGCATCAAGCCTAGGGGGTGCAAAATTGAGGTTCCATTTGGGAGCACCAAATTTTGGCCTTGTACAGAACACCATATTATGAAAGTTTAGCAAAGGTCACCTCTGGGTGTATGTTGGGAGGGGAACTTTTAGTGCATTCAGATCTCCCATCATCTAACCGGGAACATATTTGTGTTTTCACACACACAATGAAAAATGACCTGGAATGCCCTTCTTGCTCTCCTTCTCCCTCATGCCCCTTTCCAGCAGTCTTAATTGCAGTATGGTTGACATATTACTAGGTGTTACATTCTGCCAGTTTGGTGCCATGCATTATAAAACGCTGTTGAAGAAGCACCACACATTCATAGTGTGTGCATAAAGGCAGCAGAAGTAGGTGAGGCCTGAGCTTTGAGTGGGAAGAGAGAGGTTCGTGTGAAGGCAGAGCCAAGACAGAGGATAGCATGAAGGAGAGCATCTTGTTCTTCTGGTGAGAAAAGGAGAAGGTTGGGGTCTTCACCTTTGATCCATTTGAGAAGAGTCTGGTGAGAGGTCCCAACATGTCCAGATGAATAGCATATAGCTGTTGAATCCTTAAATAGCCCAGAGGTTGTGTCTATGGCTGACAAGGGCTGTCATGGTCTCCTCTTTGTTTCTTTCTCCACAGAGACTTCAGAGGACTTAGGCAAAGGCCTGCTACTGCCTTCTGAGAACACAGGGGAGCGTGGGGCAGAACCAAAGCCTGCTCCGCCTGACCAGGCCTCTGCCAGGGATGATGCTGGATTTCTGTGCTGGAAGAAGGGCTGCAGCCAGGTGTTCAAAAGCTCCACTGCCCTGCAAGCGCATTTCAATGAGGTCCACACTAAGCGGCCCCAGTTGCCTGTCTCTGACCGTCACGTTTACAAATACCGCTGCAACCAATGCAGCCTGGCCTTCAAAACAATCGAGAAGCTCCAGCTGCACTCCCAGTACCATGTCATCCGGGCAGCTACTATGTGTTGCCTTTGCCAACGCAGCTTCCGCACTTTTCAAGCCCTCAAGAAGCACCTGGAGACAAGTCACCTGGAACTGAGTGAAGCTGACATCCAGCAACTGTACGGTGGGCTTCTGGTCAACGGGGACCTCCTGGCCATGGGTGACCCTTCGCTGGCTGAAGACCACACTGTCATAGTAGAGGAAGACAAAGAGGAGGAGAGTGACCTAGAGGACAAGCAAAGTCCCACAGGAAGTGACTCTGGGTCTGTACAGGAAGACTCTGGCTCAGAACCAAAACGAGCTCTCCCCTTCCGAAAGGGCCCAAACTTCACCATGGAGAAGTTCCTGGACCCATCCCGCCCATACAAGTGCACAGTTTGCAAAGAATCCTTCACACAGAAAAACATCCTTTTGGTCCACTACAATTCAGTCTCTCACCTGCACAAGCTGAAACGAGCCCTCCAAGAGTCCACCTCTGGCCAGCCGGAGCCCACCAGCAGCCCCGACAACAAGCCCTTCAAGTGCAGCACTTGCAGCGTGGCCTATAGCCAGAGCTCCACCTTAGAGATCCACATGCGGTCCGTCCTACATCAGACCAAGGCACGAGCTGCCAAACTGGAGGCTGCAGGGGGTAGCAGTGGCAGCAGCAACAGCAATGGAGCTGCTGGTGGCAGTGGTGGCAGCATCAGCAGCGTCTCTCTGGGCTCTTCCACACCCAGCCCCATCAGCACAACCACCACCACCTCCTTTGCCATGACAAACACAAGCACTGCCAGCACAGCTCCCGTCTCTAGTCTGCTCAGCCAGGTCTCTTGCGAGAGCACTGGGATCCCTTCTCTCAGCAACCCCATCACTACCAGCTCCACCCTGGCAGCTGCTGCAAGCCCCTCTGAGCCCAAAGAGGTGAACCGTAAGAAACTGGCTGACATGATTGCTTCACGGCAGCAGCAACAGCAACAGCAGCAGCAGCATCAAGCTCACACTTTGGCGCAGGCACAGGCGCAAGTACAGGCGCAGCTCCAGCAAGAGCTCCAGCAACAAGCTGCTCTCATCCAGTCACAGCTCTTCAACCCTGCTCTCCTGCCCCACTTCCCGATGACCACAGAGACCCTCCTCCAGCTCCAGCAGCAGCAGCACCTTCTCTTCCCCTTCTACATTCCCAGTGCCGAGTTCCAGCTGAACCCCGAAGTGAGCTTGCCTGTGACCAGCGGCACACTGACACTGACTGGGACCGGACCTAGCCTTCTGGACGACTTGAAGGTGCAGCTCCCCCAGCCAGGCCACCCACCACTCCTGCAGCAGCCGCCACAGCAGCAGCTGGCTCAAGGTCAGCTGTCACAGCCGCCTCATTGTGTTCTCCTCCAGCAGAGCCAACACTCAGAGAAGAAGAGCAAGGCTTTTGGGAAGGAGAAGGAAGTCCAAAGGGAACAGGAGAGCTTTGAAAAGGGGGATGGCACCTCCATCTCTAAAGAGCACCTGCCTGACACCCTGAAGTCCAAAGACAAGCCAGAGTCAGCAGGGACAGGATCGGGCCCTGCAGAACCTTCTATGTTTCCTCCTCGTATCGCATCAGATGCACGTGGGAATGCCACAAAAGCCTTGCTGGAAAACTTTGGTTTTGAGTTGGTCATTCAGTACAATGAGAACAAGCAGAAGGTGCAGAAGAAGGCTGGGAAGACAGAGCAGGGTGACAACTTGGAAAAGTTGGAATGTGAGTCATGTGGGAAATTCTTCTCCAACGTCCTCATCCTGAAGAGCCACCAAGAACATGTCCACCAGCATTACTTCCCCTTCAAGCAGCTGGAAAAGTTTGCCAAGCAGTACCGTGAACACTACGACAAGCTGTATCCACTGCGGCCTCAAACTCCAGAGCCGCCCCCTCCCCCGCCGCCACCGCCCCCTCCACCTCTTCCTCCTCCTCTGCCAGCTCCACCTCCACAGCAGCCTTCTACACCTACCATTCCTGCTTCGGCTCCATCCATTACATCTCCCACCATTACACCAGCCCAGCCATCGCTGCCCCTCACTCAACTTTCCATGCCTATGGAGCTGCCCATCTTCTCTCCCCTGATGATGCAGACCATGCCTTTGCAAACCTTGCCTGCCCAGTTGCCACCGCAGCTTGGCCCCGTGGATGCTTTGCCTGCAGACCTGGCCCAGCTGTACCAACACCAGCTCAACCCAGGCCTTCTGCAGCAGCAGCAGCAGAACAAGAGGCCACGCACGCGGATCACAGATGACCAGCTCCGGGTCTTGAGGCAATATTTTGATATCAACAATTCCCCAAGCGAGGAGCAGATCAAGGAGATGGCAGACAAGTCTGGACTGCCACAGAAGGTGATCAAGCACTGGTTTCGGAACACACTCTTCAAAGAGCGCCAGCGCAACAAGGACTCCCCATACAACTTCAGCAATCCTCCAATTACCAGCCTGGAGGACCTGAAGGTAGATTCTCGACCACCCTCTCCAGAGCCTCAAAAGCATGAGTACTGGGGAAGCAAGAGGTCTTCCAGGACTCGCTTTACTGACTACCAACTCCGAGTGCTGCAGGATTTCTTTGATGCCAATGCTTACCCCAAGGATGATGAATTCGAGCAGCTCTCAAATTTGCTCAACCTTCCAACCCGTGTGATAGTGGTATGGTTTCAGAATGCTCGCCAGAAGGCCAGGAAAAACTACGAGAATCAGGGGGAAGGGAAGGATGGAGAGCGACGGGAGCTGACAAATGACAGGTACATCCGGACAAGCAACTTGAATTACCAGTGCAAGAAGTGCAGCCTTGTCTTCCAGCGCATCTTTGACCTGATCAAACATCAGAAAAAGCTGTGCTACAAGGATGAGGATGAAGACGGGCAGGATGACAGTCAGAACGAGGATTCCATGGATGCAGCAGAGCTGCTGACCCCAACCAGTTCCTCCTGCAGCACCCCAATGCCTTCCCAGGCCTACAGCACCCCCACGTCTTCTGCAAACACAGCCTGCTCTTCCTCAGCTTTCCTACCACAGCTCACTGCTGAAGCAGACGATGACTTCGCCATCTATAGTTCTAAAGCAGAAGCTACAGACGAAAAACCAAAGCAACCTGAACCTCCAAGTACGCAGCAAAACCAAACTCCAGAGAAGCAAATGCAACCAAAGCAGGAGGTGCAGCAGCAGCAGCAGCAGGACCCAGGCGAGCCAAAGGCCAGTGCAGCACACCCAAAGGCCTCCCCACCCACCCCACAGCAATCAGTCCAGCCTCCTCCACAGTCTGTGCTGCCACAGTCCAGTCCTAGCCCCTCACAACTCTCTCACCTACACCTCAAGCCCCTTCACACATCCACCCCTCAACAGCTGGCCAACATGCCTCCTCAGCTCATCCCCTACCAATGTGACCAGTGCAAACTAGCATTTCCCTCCTTTGAGCATTGGCAAGAGCATCAGCAGCTCCACTTCTTGAGTGCCCAGAACCAGTTTATCCACCCCCAGTTTCTGGACAGGACTTTGGATATGCCTTTCATGCTCTTTGACCCCAGCAACCCCCTCCTGGCCAGTCAGCTGCTGTCTGGGACGCTCCCCCAGCTGCCCATGAGCTCAGCCACTTCACCCTCCACACCAACATCCACCATGAGCACACTGAAGAGAAAGTTGGAGGAGAAAGCCAGTGCAAGTCCTGGCGAGAATGACAGCAGCACTGGCGGGGAGGAGCCCCAGAGGGACAAGCGTCTCCGAACAACCATCACCCCAGAACAGCTGGAAATTCTCTACCAGAAATACTTACTTGATTCCAACCCTACCAGAAAGATGCTTGACCACATTGCTCACGAGGTAGGTTTGAAAAAACGTGTGGTGCAGGTTTGGTTCCAGAACACTCGGGCCCGGGAGCGGAAGGGGCAGTTCCGGGCAGTGGGGCCTGCCCAGGCCCACAGGCGGTGCCCTTTTTGCCGGGCCCTCTTCAAAGCCAAAACAGCCCTGGAAGCACACATCCGATCGCGGCACTGGCATGAAGCCAAGCGGGCAGGGTACAACTTGACCTTGTCAGCCATGCTTTTAGATTGTGATGGAGGGCTCCAGATGAAGGGAGACCTCTTTGATGGAGCAAGCTTTGCTCACCTGCCACTCACCAGCAGCGATAGCCAGGGCATTCCGCTCTCCCCAGTGAGCAAGTCTCTGGAGCTCTCTCCTCGAACTCTGCTGAGCCCCTCCTCCATTAAAGTAGAAGGGATAGAGGACTTTGAGAGCCCCTCTATGTCCTCTGTCAATCTGAGCTTTGACCACACCAAGCTGGACAACGATGACTGCTCCTCTGTCAACACAGCCATCACAGACACCACCACGGGGGATGAAGGCAATGCAGACAATGACAGTGCCACGGGGATCACCACTGAAGCCAAATGCACCTCAGGGCCAGGTGAGGGCCTGACCAAGGCTGCCATGATAGCAATGTCAGAGTATGAAGACAGACTGTCTTCTGGCCTTGTCAGCCCAGCTCCCAGTTACTACAGCAAAGAGTATGACAATGAAGGTACTGTGGACTACAGTGAGACCTCCAGCCTGGCAGACCCTTGCTCACCCAGCCCTGGCACAAGTGGCTCAGCGGGCAAGTCTGGAGATAGCGGGGATCGGCCAGGACAGAAGCGCTTCCGGACACAAATGACGAACCTCCAGCTGAAGGTCCTAAAGTCCTGCTTTAATGACTACAGGACTCCAACCATGCTGGAATGTGAGGTCCTGGGCAACGATATTGGGCTGCCAAAGAGAGTTGTTCAGGTCTGGTTCCAGAATGCTCGGGCCAAGGAGAAGAAGGCCAAGCTCAGTATGGCCAAGCATTTTGGCATTAACCAAGCAAGTTACGAGGGACCCAAAACAGAGTGCACTTTGTGTGGTGTCAAGTACAGTGCCCACTTGTCTGTACGTGACCATATCTTCTCTCAGCAGCACATTTCCAAAGTGAAGGACACCATCGGAAGCCAGCTGGACAAAGAGAAGGAGTACTTTGACCCAGCGACTGTCCGTCAGTTGATGGCGCAGCAGGAGCTGGACCGGATCAAGAAGGCCAATGAAGTTCTCGGCCTGGCTGCTCAGCAGCAAGGCATGTTTGACAGCCCCCCTCTGCAGGCTTTGAACCTTCCTGCCACCTACCCAGCAGCACTTCAGGGCATCCCTCCTGTCCTCTTGCCGGGCCTCAACAGCCCATCCTTGCCTGGCTTCACTCCCTCAAACACAGGTGAGTTTCCACTGCATTCCCCCCACCGCTTCTTTGGTACATGTCCTGGGGAGGAGGGATTTTGATGCACTGTGAGCCTCACAGGGTCGCTGGAGGAATTTCTGGGTTGCTACAAGCAAAAATGGCCTTCCTCAGGTCCAGTTTCTGACTGACCTCGTGCACAAGTGCTCAGCATGCAATGACAAGGTTCCTGTTTCAGGTGGATGGTTCTTGGTTGCTTGAGAACCAGTCACCACTGCCATCAGGGGTTGAGGAAGCAATATAGGCTCCTCCCTCCCTCCAAGTCCCAAGGCCAACTCTATTTTGTTTTTGTTTTTATTCTTATTCTGCTCTTGGACCCTGCTGGTAGCGTAACGTAAGCATTAACAATAGTTTATAGTTGGACCCAACAGCAAGAAATACAATTCACAACACCAGTTTGATTAAGTTCAAAATGTCATTTAATCGTCGGGAGGCCACTCTTCATGCAGTAACTACAGAGGGGAGAAAAAGGGCTAGAGCTTCCAGTTAGCAGGAAAAAATGGCGCACGGCCTTCTTGTGACAACCCTTCATGTCCCTCCTGCAGAGCAAGAACTGGCCTCCAGCAGGTGGCTTCTCAGTCCTTGGCTCCATGCCTTGAGCACCTTGACCCATGCTCATTTGTTGGCTTTCATGCAGGCATTTCCAAGGCCCCTGTTTGGCCTCTCCTATTTAGTGGGTGCTTCTCTTACCACAGTGGGATGATAATCATCATGATTTCTCACCACCAGCTTTTCTGCAACCTGAATTTGTTTGTTTGTTCATTTTCTAAACTACTTTACATCACATTTGCTCCCAGTGTGGTTTACAAATAGAATGCCTGAGCGTTAAAAGTATGAAATATAATACAAAATTGAAATCCCAGCAATATCATACAGCAAATGGGCATCATGCAGTTTCAGCTGGTCCATGCAGAACCACCCCCAAGGCCTGGATGAAGAAGTACATCTTCAGCTGGTGCTGCTGAACCAGATAGGGCCTCAGGGGGAAGGGGACTCCATAGCCAGGGTGCCACTGCGGAGCAATCCTACCACGAATCACTGAATCATGGGCTGCTTAGCAACAGGACTGCCAACAGGGCCTCCCTTGCAGCCTGGTATAAGGACAGATGCTCCTTCTAGCATTGAAGTCTCAATTCATTTAGAGCTTTATAAATTAACTTGGACACCTTGAATTGGGCTTAGTAACCTACAGGTGACCAGCGAAGATCCTTGCAGAACTGATGCTCTGTAGTTGCAATTAATTCTACCACTTAACACTGAAGTGCCACTTTTTGCACTACAGGGGCAATTCAGACTTTCAGGGTCTGCCTGGGACTCTCCCATCAGAAGGCAGACAAAGGGGATTGTTTTTGTGAAAGCACCTCAACGTTGAATTCTCTTCCTGCAAAGCTAGCGTGCCAGAGGGAAGGCTGTGCTGGAATTCAGCTTCCTGGTGTGCTGGACTGCATATAAAGCTGGTTTGTGCACTCAGGCCATTGGTCCATCTAGGCCCCTGCTTTTATCTCTGGCTGCTATGTCAAAAGCAGACATAGAGGCCTTTCCCAGACATATTAGCTGAGATCACCACCAACTTGGATGGCTTTAAAAAGAGGATTAGACACATTAATACAGGAGGAGGATAAAGTTATCAATGAACACTACCCTACCAACCAACCTTCCTGAGGACGGGAGCTCTCTTGGGAGTCCCTCAGAATTGCTGGACGCCCACCCACCCTCCCACCCACCCACAATATACATATAGTTCGCATTTTTAATACGGAGACAAAAAACACATTCCACATCCTCTTTCCTCCACTCCCCCAATTGTACAGCTTTCATACCAATCCCTACATACAACTAAATATCTGGTGACTCTCCTTCCACCCTTTTCCTGGTTTCTTTATTTTCTCTTAAATCACGTATTCCAAATTTTTAATCTTTGAATTTCTTCCTCTGTTAAACTCTATTAACTCCTATTCTGCTGGATTTACTCAAGACCTGCTAAATTAGTTATTTGTTTATACTGGTCCTTATATTCTTTATCCTCCTTTTCTCTTACCCTATTCGTTATGCCTGCCAATTCAGCATATTCAGGCATTTTAAACTGCCGCTCTTCCTTGGTGGGTACTGTACCCATTTTCTACTTTTGTGCCAATAAGATTCTGGCCACAGTGGTGGCATATAATATTTTTGTTGTTGTTGTTTTTAGGGACTTCTGTTGTTACCATTCCCAAAAGGAATGTCTCGAGCTTTTTTGGGAAGGTTCTTTACAATATCTTTTTTAATTGATTGTAAATTACTTCCCAGAATTCCTTGATTACTCTACAGGACCACCAAATGTGGAAAAAGAATCCCTCTACTTCATTGTATTTCCAACATTTACTGTTTTCTTTTTTTAAACATTTCCGCTAGTTTGGCAGGTGTTAAATACCATTTGTGGGTCATTTTCATCATATTTTCCTTTAATACGTAACATGCCATAAAATTCATATTTACTGTCCATAAATTCTCCCACAGCTCATAATCAATGTTATAAGCCACATCCTGTGCCCACTTAATCATACTTGATTTCACAAATTCCTCTTTTGTATCCCACTCTAGCAGCAGTTTGTACATTTTTTATAATACTTTCACTTTCGTATCTAATAAATCCAGTGTTTTTATCCATCTTAAACAGTTTGTTTATCTGATGTTTCTGTAACCTATCTCGGGATTTTTCAACCTTGGTTCCTGTCCAGAAAGATCTAAGATTTCTTATATGTTAACCATTGTTTGTCCATATTTGTTCTTTTCTTGCAGTGGCTTCAATCAGGGATATCCATATTGGTGTTTTCTTTTCTAATAGATTTCTGTACTTTTCCCATACTCTGTATATATATTTTTCTGATCACATGATTTGTAAAGGTTTTACAAATTTTTGCCTTCCCATGCCATAGGCAGGCATGCCACTCAAATTGTATACCATGCCCTTCCAAATTTAAACCTCTGATATTTTCCAACAATATCCAATCTTTCATCCACCATAAACATGATGACTCAAAGTAGATTTGGAAGTCTGGGAGAGCGAAGCCTCCTCTTCCTTTCATGTCAATCACGACTATGTGTTTTATTCTGGGCTTTCTTCCCTGCCAGATAAACCTTGATATATTTTTCTGCCACTCTTTGAAGCATTTAGTGTTGTTAATTATTGGGATATTTTGAAATAAGAATAGCATTTTTGAAAGGACATTCATTTTAATAGCCAAAATCCTGCCAGTAACGATAGTTTCATTCTTTTCCATATTTCCAAATTTCTCTTTATTTATTTCCAAACCCTTACATAGTTATCTTGGTAAATATTATAGTTGTTCGTTGTTAACCAGATCCCCAAATATTTAATTTTTTTTCTCTACTTTTCACCCATACATGATTTCTAGATCGTTTTTTGCTTGGTTGTCCATATTTTTAACCATCGTCTTGGTTTTTCCTTTATTTAATTTGAAACCAGCTAGTTTTCCAAATCTGTCTTTCTCATCTATCACTTCTGGTATGCTCTCACTCGGATGTTGTAAAGTTAATACTAAGTCATCTGCAAATACTTTTAATTTATAGTTTTGCTGTCCCACTTTTATTCCTTGTATTCTATCATTTTTCTTATATTTTATGCCAAAACTTCTAATATTAACATGAATAACAGCGGAGACAATGGGCAGCCCTGCCTCGTCCCTTTGTGTATCTTACATTTTTCTGAAATATTATTATTTACTATAATATTTGCTGTTTAGTCTTTATAGATTGATTTTATACCCTTTAGAAAGGTTTTGCCAAATCCCATCTTTTCCTGTAACTTTGTCATAAATAGCCAGGAGACGTTATTGAAAGCCTGCTTTTCATTATGGATTTCTCAGTATTCCAAAACATTTATAATGGTCCTAACATTTTCTTTCATTTGTCTCCCAGGAAGAAAACCCGTCTGGTCTTCATGTATCAAATTTCTTAGAGTCATTTTAAATCTATTTACCAATATCAACGTAAAATGTTTGTAATCGTTATTTAATAATTATATTGGTCTATAATCTTTAGGTTCCATTAGGTCTTTATCATATTTTGGTATCAGAGTTATATATGCTTCTTTCCAGGACTCTGGTATCCTTCCTGTCTCTAGTACCTTATTCATAATATCTTTGAGTGGAAGCGTTAGCTCCTCTTGAAATTCCTTATATCCTGCCGACAGACTATCTGGCCGTGGGGATTTTCCTGTCTTAATTTGACTTCGTACCCTTTGCATTTCCATCACTGATACTGGAGTATTTAAAATCTTTGCATTTTCTTCTGATATTTTGTCCAGTTTACAATCTTCCAAATACTTCTCAATCAGTTCTGAGCTTTCTTGTTCTTTCTTATAAAGATCTATGTAGAATTTAACAAATTTGTGTCATCTCTTTTTGATTGGTTGTGGGGGTTCCATTTTTTTAGCAGACCATTGATTATCCTTTTTTCTTTTTCTTTCTTCAGTTGCCAAGCTAATAACTTCCCTGGTTTATTTGTCAATTCAAATCTTTTTTGTTTTATCACTTTAATTTTCCTTTCTATAATTAATTAGCATAGAGTGTTGTGCTAATATTTTAATTCTTTATAATAGCTCTTTCTTACCTGGTTTTTTACTAAACTCTTTCTCTTTCTTTGTTAGTTCCTTTAATACCTCTTGGATCTTTGCCTCTCTTATTCCTTTTTGATGTGCATTTTGTTGGATCATGTATCCCCTCATAATCGCCTTACCTGCATCCCACATCACATTCGCATCTACCCCTTTATTAAGCTTGAATTCAAAATATTCTTTTAGAATCTTTTCCCCTTTGGTTACAATTTCTGAGTTGTTTAATAATTCCTCATTTATTCTCCATCTGTAACCATTTTGTTTCTCTCTTAATATCTTTACTGATATCAAATTGTGGTCTGAGATCATTCTTGGGTGTATCTCCACCTTTTTCACCCTCATCCCCAAATCTTTGGAGACCCACACTACAGTGGTACCTCGGGTTAAGAACTTAATTCGTTCTGGAGGTCTGTTCTTAACCTGAAACTGTTCTTAACCTGAGGTACCACTTTAGCTAATGGGGCCTCCCGCTGCTGCTGCTGCGCCACTGCCATGCGATTTCTGTTCTCATCCTGAAGCAAAGTTCTTAACCTGAGGTACTATTTTTGGGTTAGCAGAGTCTGTAACCTGAAGCGTCTGTAACCCGAGGTACCACTGTATATCTATTCTACTTGATGAATTTTGAGAACTTGAATGAAATGTGTACTCGTGTTCTGTTGGATGTTTAAATCTCCATAAGTCTATTAGGTCCATGTTTTTTATCATATCAAAAACGGAATTTGGCCGTTTCCCTTCCTTGGATCTTGTTTCCCGATTTGACCTATCATATTCCAGAGATGTGACCCCATTCAGGTCCCCCATTATTATTATTTTTCCATCATATAATTCAAATAGACTTTCCTCTGGTTTTTTAAAAATATATATAGAAGATTCATTTCTGTTCGTTTGGGGCATATATTTCCACAATTATCCAACTTTTCCCTTCCACTTGACCTCCACCACTATTATTCTACCTTCTTCCTCTTCATACCACTGTTTAGGCTCTAACTTTGGACAACTCCTAAATGGTGGGACTCTGTCTCCTGCAGAGGAGCATCTTCATTGCACAGCTTTTGCCATAAGGTGAAGATGTACCTTTTTCACCCTAGTTAAAAGTATTTTGTTCTGTGGGACCCAGCTCATTTACTGAATTTATATTGCTCTCTTCAATGTGGAACAGTTTTATATGGTCTGTCAATGTAATGGCTTTATCTGCTTTTATAAGGATAATAGAAATAGATGGCCTTTGGCCTGATCCAGCAGGCTTTCCTTACATTCTTTAACAGGAACTGCCTGTGGGACCCTCTGCTTTGCCAATGAGCCATGGCCCTTCCCCTAGTTTTGCACATGGGGCCCCTTAAACCAAGAGAGCCTTTTGAAGAGGTCTGAGTAGCTCTGGACAGTTGGCATTTGGCAATTTGTAGCAGGATAGGAACTTCTGCTTCTAGTCATGGCTGCTGCAGATGCTCTCTTTCTTCTTCCCCAAACTTGCCCAGAAAAGGTGTTCTAGTGGGCCCACCCCTCCCATCATCAGCTTTCCCAGAACATAGCTGGAAATGTCAGTAGTTCAAAACCAGACATTGTCATGGGACATATTCCATCCTTCCCTAAGAGCCCTCCAGCAGCTCTCACCATTCCTTCTCCTCAATCCCTTGTACCCACAATGAGCAAGAGGAAAACATCACAATTTATTTATACATTGTGTGTGGACTTGTCCTTTTGACCTACTCACAAAACAGGATATAACTTTGCATACAATTTGCCTATACTTAAGTGTCATATACAAATTTGTGCCCTCTTTTGCAGGTGAACCACCACCACCCCACAAGTAAATAGGTATGAGTAACAGAAAATCAGCAGATGAGGCTTCTTCCATAATTTGCTTCCTTACTAGAAAAGGCTTGATCTGTTGAATTTCTGCCTACCACACAGCTGTTAAAAGTACAAGACCCTATTGCCAGTACTAAACAATGCAAAGAACTCCAGTTTATTGAGCTGTAAACCAGTTATATTCTTGTAGTTTGGGGCAGGGAATCCTCTCCTAGCCGGTGAGCCAGATTCTTATTTCTCCATTCATCAAATTTGACAGGTGGATGGGGCTGCCCACCTGTCCATCACCTGGCTATTTGAAAACTCTTTTACAAACAGCCACACATTGCTCTTTGAATATCCAGAAATCTAAGGTTCAAAGAGCAGTGCTGGGAGGGAGAAACTGTTGCCACTGAATTTGCTGCCAAATTGGAGATCCCTCACACACACGGTGGAAGCCACTTCGCCCTCCTGAAGCATGACACGCTCCCACTGCAGATCAGCTAATGGGTCGTGAGAGTGTACTTTTCTCCAGCAAAGGAAAACTGGGAGCTCACTTTAATCTCCCAGTTGTACCTTTGAATCTCTGCCCGTACCCGCTTCATACCTGATAGCATGTATGGCATCAAGTGTTGGGCAGGTGAGCACTGATCATCATTAACCAAAGCATCCTTGCAGGCCAAGTGGGGAGACTTAGCTGGCCAACATTAACCCACAGGCTAGAGGTTCCCCACTTTCTGTGGGTTAGGTTGGCAGTACAACATTCAGTGCAAATCTAAGTGTGATATTTCAGATGGCAGAGGGGAGAGGTAGTCAAAATTGGCTGAGGGTTTACAGTGGCATGTTTAGATAGAGTCAATATTAAATTATTTAAAAGCAACCAGTGCATTCTAGGAGCATTTGTTATTATTCATTTAGACCTTCTAGTAATTGCAGCAATGTTCAAATGGCTTCTTTTTTCTTTATTTTTTAACAAAGGAGGCATGAGCCTTGGAAATGAATCTCCCATTAATTTATATTAGCAGCAACTATCCACCCACAATAATCCCTCTACCCCCTTCCCCCATCCCATGTTGAACAATGAACTTTACAACCCTGCCCCACAACTGGATTCTCCCAAAAAATAATCCCAATCCAGCACACAGAGAGACTGTTTAACCCTGTACTACATCATAGGGTTGAGATCTATTTCTCTCTCTCAGCCTCTGCTCTAGCAAAATTAACATAGCAACTCTCAACTACTAATGTAACCCATGCTTTCTTCACCACAATATTAAGATGGATTTTATTTGCACTGGTGTTTGCATTAACCCAGTATATTTTTTTTAATGTAAACAAGCAGAATAGGCAACATTTCTGCATTATTTTTTTTTAAAAAAGCTGAGTTAGAAAGAACATGAATTTCTGCCTTTTTGCTCTTTGGTGGCCATGCTATTGCCCAGTCACAGCTGGATTTTTCATTTATTTTCTCTGGACAAGAATCACTTCTCTACTAGGGAAGATGAAAACATAGTTTCAAAATGAACTACGAAGTCCCTTCCAAATGAACCTGGCAGTCCTTCTCCTGAATCTACAGATAATCTAGTGTGACACAAGCACCAAAGAAGGCTGAAAAATGACTTCAGAATGATTCAGAAAGTCCCTCCAGAAAGGGCTTCCTGGGTCATTTAAAAAATTTATTTTTGGTCTTCTGTTGGGCTTGTATGACTCTGAATATATCTATATCTCTATACTGATTTCACTCATTGGCTAAAATCACTGAAAAACAGGAGCAGGTTCATATTTCACAAAACTATTGCTTGAGATGATGCCTCATAATTTTGCTTCATAATATTCACTCTACATTTTTTATTTTCTTTAATGAATAGACTCATAGAACTATAGAGTTGGAAGGGACCATGAGGGTCATCTAGTGCAGCCCCCTGCAGTGTAGGAATCTTTCACCCAACATGGGGCTCGAACCCATGACCCAGAGAGTAATAGTCTCATGCTCTACCAACTGAGCTATCCCAGGAATACTAGTAGTCTAGGACCCCTTGCTGCCTCTGGGCCTGGTACAGCAGTACTCTCTGTTGACACCCTTGGTGCTATGGCACAGCGCTCACTGAACTGCCCTCCTTTGGGATTTCTGCATAGTCTGAGCCCTCTTCTCCAAAGGGGGAAGTAGCTTTTCTTCTGTACCACCACCACCACCACCAACAACAACAACAACAACAACTCTCTTTCACCAGCCAGAGGCAAAATACAGGCCTTTGCCTTTCTGGGTCCATTGTCCAGCTTAGGAACAGGCCTAGCTACCTGTCTTCCACCTAAAACTTACTTTCTTTCTGTCCCTTTCTTTCTAGCTTTAACTTCTCCAAAACCCAACCTGATGGGTCTACCCGGCACAAGCATCCCCTCGCCTGGCCTTCCCACCTCTGGATTACCAAATAAACAACCTTCGGCCTCCCTGAGCTCCCCCACCCCAGCACAAGCCACAGCGGCCACGGTTCCACAGCCACAGCCACCGCAGCCTCAGCCACCGCCTCGGAAGGACAAAGAAAGTGAGAAGACGAAAGAGAAGGACAAAGCACCCAAGGGGGGGAAGGGGGATTCCCTGCTGGCACCCAAGAAGGACAAAGTGGAGGTGCCTGCCCCAGCTGCCCTCTCTGCCACGCTGCCTGCCATGGAGTACTCTGTGGACCCCACGCAGCTCCAGGCTCTGCAGGCAGCTCTGAACTCGGACCCCACAGCTTTGCTGACGAGCCAGTTCCTCCCCTACTTTGTCCCTGGTTTTTCTCCCTACTATGCCCCTCAGATCCCAGGGGCCTTACAGAGCGGGTACCTTCAGCCCATGTATGGCATGGAGGGGCTGTTCCCTTATAGCCCTGCACTGTCACAAGCCCTGCTCGGCTTGTCCCCTGGTTCCCTGTTGCAGCAGTACCAGCAATATCAACAGAGCCTGCAAGAAGCGTTGCAGCAACAGCAGCAGCAGCAACAACAACAGCAGCAGCAGCAGCAGCAACAACAACAGAGGCAAGCGCAACAGCAGCAGCAGAAATTGCTGCAGCTGCAGCAGCAGCAGCAGCCCAAAGGAAGCCAAACCCCAGTCCCCTTAGGGGCTGCTACCCCAGAAAAAGACCCTGCCAAAGAATCCCCCAAGCAAGAAGAGCAGAAGAATGCACCCCGCGAGGTGTCCCCCCACCTGCCCAAACCCCAAGAAGAGCCTGAAACGGAAAGCAACAGTGCTGTGGACTCCCTCTGTGACCCCTTCATCGTTCCAAAGGTGCAGTACAGGCTGGTCTGCCAGAAGTGCCAGGCAGGCTTCAGCACCCAGGAGGCAGCCACCGACCACCTGAAGTCCCTCTGCTTCTTCGGCCAGTCTGTGGTGAATCTGCAAGAGATGGTGCTTCATGTGCCCACGGGCGGCAGCAGCAAGGGCAACAGCTCGTACCAGTGTGTGGCGTGTGAGAGCACGGTGTGCGGGGATGAAGCCCTCCAGCAGCATCTTGAGTCTGCCTCGCACAAACATCGAACAATCCCAAGAGCAGCAAGAAACGCCAAAGAGCACCCCAGTCTATTACCTCACTCCGCCTGCCTCCCCGACCCTAGCACCGCATCTACCTCGCAGTCTGCCGCTCACTCAAATGACAGCCCCTCCCCCCCGTCCTCAGCTTCCCCCCACACCTCCAGAAAGTCTTGGCCTCAAGTGGTCCCCCAGGCTCCTCTGGGGAAGCCTCCTCCTCCTCCTCTCTCCTCATCTTCAACGGTTACCTCAAGTTCATGCAGCACCTCAGGGGTTCAGCCCTCGATGCCAACAGATGACTATTTGGAGGAGTCTGACTCGGATCTTAGCCAAAAGTCCAATGGACCGGCTAGCCCGGCGGAGAGGCCTGAGGAGCCAAGCTGCCCCAAGGACGGTGGTCTCACTAGCCTAGAAATGGACACCTTTAGATTGTAAGCTTTGAAGATGAACAATTTAAAAAAATGAATTAAAAAAAAAATTAACAAACCAATTTCAAAAATAGACTAACTGCAATTCCAAAGCTTCTAACCAAAAAAAAGAAAAAGAAAAAAAGAAGAGAGAAGTGTGGGTTGTTTTCCCATATACCGATGCCGGCAGATTTTCCATTGCTTTCTTTTTGCATTTCGGCTGTGCTGTGTTGGTCTGGAAGGCCCAAGCCCCCTACCCCACCCTGGTTGCCTCTCCGGGGTCTTTCTGTCTGTCTGTGGAGCCCCAGCCCTCCCCCCCCCCTTTGAGAGCACAGCAGAGGCCGGCATAACTGTATGGGAAAGCAGACCACCTTGTTACCGTTTTAAATTTCTTGCTATCTTAGCATTCAGATACCAATGGCTTGCTAAAAGGAAAAAAAAAAGAAATGTAACGTCTTTTTATTCTCAGGTCAATCGCTCACACTTTGTTCGGTTTTCAGAATCATTGTTTTATATAAATATATATATATATAATTTCTTTTTTGGTTTTGATTTTTTTTCCAAGAAAAGGAATTTTTTTGTTAATTTAAAAATGGGCAGAAAGTCTTCAAGAGACAAACAATGTGAACTGTGTTAGCTTTCTGGGGATTTTAAGGGTAGCTTTTCTGCTGAAGCCAATTTCAAGGGGAAAAGTTCAGCACTCCCACTTTTCAGAAAAACAAACAAACCCAACAACACGCAAAGAGTGTTAAGGACTTGGAGCTTAAAAATAAGTTTTAAAACAACTGACTTTCTGTATTTATGATAGATATGACCATTTTTGGTGTTGAGTAGATTGTTGCATTGGAAATGAACTGAAGCAGTATGGTAGATTTAAAAGAAAAACCCCTTTTGTGTACATTTAGCTTTTGTATTGGTCCAGCTGACGGCTTCTCATTGGATGTTGTCTTGTTCATTCCTAGCCAGCTAGATTACAACCCATCGATTCGCTCGCCGAAGCTTCCCCTCCCCCTTTGTACCTTGACTCCCTTCTCCATCCTGTAATCTTCCACTTATGGTCACTGCCTTCATTTCTTAGAGGGCAGCTGCAGAATTATTTTATAAAAACTAAAGAAAAAATTCAAAGGGTTTCAAAGGGGGTCAGTAGGATCCCTTGCAGAATATTTTTGTTGGGGGTTCAAAACTTTTTAAGGTGTATACATGTCTGTTACCCTTGTGCACTTAACTCTGTCTTCTTCTTTTCTTTTTCTTCTTCTTTTGGCTTCCTTTCCTCATTTTGTAAATGCTTCAAAGGCTCCATTTTGGAACTGTAGGCCTTTGTTTCTCTTTGGGTAATTAGGGTGCACTTCTTCCTTTTTCCAAGGACTTTTTGTTATATATGTGTGTGTGTGCTTGTGCGTGTGTGTGCGCGCGTGCATGTGTGGGTGGGTTTTGTTTTGTTTTTCTGTTTTGTTTTTCTTTCCTCGAAAAGAAAATTCATGCTTTAAATAAAATCCAAAGACAAACCCTTTTCACCACTGGTGCAGAATGAGCAAAAAGGATTCTTTTGACTTGAGGATTTGTTTCTGATTACCGCCACAAGAATCAGTTTAAATAAAGGAACTCATAAAGAAAAACATGCATGTAGGTTGTTCTCTGTGCTTCTTCTGCAAGCAGAGGAGCAACCCTTCCTGCAACTGCAACAAACAACACGATGCTCCTGCGTTGTTAGGGTGGTGTCGCTGCTAGTGTCGTGTGAGCCCCAGAGGGGCAGGCAACAAAAAGCATTTGGGGCCTGGTGCAAATCTCTCTCTGCTCCTGGTGGCATCTTCTCTGGTCCGGAAACTGAAAGGAAAACTTTGTGCTGCTACAATGTAGAGTTTGGAGACAAGCAGGCCTTGCATGGTCACTTCCTAGCCAAAGGTCAACATTCCCTTCTCCCTCCCTGCACCCACCCTCAATAGTGAAAGGCCGCCTCCTCCTCCTCCTCCTCCTCCTCTTCCTGACCATCTTCCTTGTGTTTCAAAAGGGAACTAGACTGTGAATGGGGGGAGGGGGAGGGAAGGGGCACTTCTTTCTCCTTCAGACTTCTCTTCCCTTCCTCCCTTCTCCCCAGCCCGCAAACTGTGGAAGCTGCCAGAGCCCCTGGGTGAGGCTGGTGTGTTCCATCCCAGAGAGGAAGGGCGGGTGGGCAGGCAGACTGACCAATGGACAGCAGCAGCGTCCTCCTCCTCCTCCTCCTCTCTCCTTCCCTCCCAAACCAGGACTCTTCATGCCTTTTTTGTCTTTAGCTTAATGGAAGACTCAACCTTGAACTGGTGTACATATTTCTGACTAGACTGATGCACAATGCAAGTTGCTTTTTTTAAATTTTTTAAGTAGACCGTACTAAAAAGAGTACCATTGAATATTCCTGCCAGTATCCAATTGTAGCATAAGGTGTCAAAAGCGGACAAAATGTTGCTGTTTTCCCTTTTTACAAAGATCCTTGTATTTTTCCCTTGCTTGAGATGAACATTTTTTAAATTTTAAAGTTGTACAGTTTTTGTTTCCATTATTTTATCTTGTTTGTAATTCTATGAAAAATATATAGATATATATATATATTTTTTGCCATTTAACTTGTATGTTACTCTGTATCATATAGAAGTTTTTTGTTTTGTTTTGGTTCTCTGTGTGGTATAAGTTGCCAGTTAAACACTAGCTTTACCTGTCAGGTTTGCGTGGTCTGCTTTGAAATCATTTTGTTTATTTCCCCTTCTCCCTCCCTCCCCCCCCTTCCCCTGCCCCACTCCCGTAGATTAATCACACAGGGTGCAATCTTCCTCCTCCCACTCCAAATAGTGTTTCAGTGCATTTTCTGATAACTCTTCCTCTGTGTGGGGGGAGACTCTCCCAGTCTGATGAGAGACGTCTCTGTCCTAGAAGGGCAGAGCAGCCTCCCCTGCTGCCCCTCTCCTCTCTCCTGCTCCCACAGCCAACATGGAGCTCATAGAGCTCCCTGAGCCAAGTAGCCCCTCCAAGCCATCCTCTGCCTCCTCCCACCCTGCCATTTGGGGTTGTGTGGGTTGGCACTTGGGTTCTGCAGAAGCTCAGCAGGGAAGGAGGAGCAGCTGCACTAAGCAGCACCCAGAGTAGTGCTGGGAAGTGGGGGTGGGAATGAGGCCTCTGTGCCAGCCAGTATTTGGTGCCTGGGCTGCAAAATCCTCCAGCCTCTTCTTTCCCATGGAACTGGCCTCTTACCTGAGCCACCGTTCACACTGCGGAGATGTCATTTTGTTTTTAACAGCTCTCCCTTGATGCTGGAATTTAAGCCAAGTGATAGAACGGAAAACACAAGCATGGCATTATTGAGCAGAGCAGTGTCTGTAACCAAGAGTGTTCTGAAGAAGTGGAATGTTGCTGGCTCTGGTTCCAACCAAGACCGTGCCAGGTAGGCAGGCAGGTGATGACTGAGGTGCAGCAGGGCCCCTGTGCAAGCCAGCACAAAGGGTGGCAGTCTGGGACTCTCTTAAACAGAAGTAGAACATGAGATATTTGGTTGGATTGATGGCGCTGGAAATCCTGCCCACTGTGAAACACAAAGTTTTTGACTATTTTTCATTTGTTTGATTCGGGGGCGGGGGGTGGGGACAAGTCTGGATAAAACAGAAAGCATAAATGAGGTGAAGAGGTATATGAACAGCCTTTGCAATGTACAAAAACTAGAGCAAGTGAAACCAAAAATGATGTTCTTGGTGTTTTTCTATAATGTAGTCTTGTTAGCTTTTTTGTTACTGTAACAATGCTGATCTCGAACTGTACCAAAATACATGGAGACGGACAAAAACAGAAACCACACGGAACTCTTAAAAAAAAAGATTTTGTCACAAAACACTTTGTTGTCATAGTTAAGTTGATTGTAGATGGTAATTGAATATACTCCTTTGAAAATATTTCATCAAGTATGTTTCCTGCTCATTGTGATACATTAAAAAAATGAGCAAAAGCTCTTGTCTCTGCTGTCCCCGGGTATGTGTGAATGTGAGTGCCTGTCTGTCCTACGAAAGGGAGCACTTTTATGCGTGGGGGACAGAATGTGGGAAGAATGTCTGTGACAGCAAATCCCCTGGGTAAGTGCATGAGAGCTGCTGCCTCTTGTTCTTAGCGCCCAGGCAGAGTGTGTGCTACAGTTCTGTGAAGCCTAAGTGGCTCTGCAGGAGGACTTTCTTACCGCTAACAGGGGACACAGTTTGGGGAAGGGTGGCATTAGCTCAGTTTCTTGCCTCTGGGAAATGAAGTGTTCCAAAATCAGAATTTCCCCAAGTGCCTAAGAAAGAATTCCCAGCCCTTCCGTTTCACAGATTACTTCAAGAGACTTAGGAGCATGCTGGGTGAAAGTGGAATGAGGGGACAGTGTCTCCATCTCCTCAAGTGCAAAGCAAAGAGGTAAGTGGCTGATTCGCTGCCCCGTCTCTTTTGGCAGGGAGGGCTTAAGAGATGTGCAGGGTGGTAGCTGATCCTTGGCTGGTCTTATAGTATGGGAAAGCCCCATAGGCAGACCTCTGAGTTCTTTCCTATCTCAAAGCCTAGAATTGTCCAGCCACCGTAAGAAGATAGACACCTGTGCACCATTTTCTATTGTTTTATGTATTTCATAAAATTTATATACCACTTGATTTTAAGGGGAGGGGAAAACCTCAAAAGCAGTTTTTGTTTTGCTGTGTTAATATGGCCTGCAGGATAGCTCAGTCAGTAGAGCATGAGACCCTTAATCTCAGGGCCGTGGGTTCAAGCCTCCTCCCCTTGCCCGTTTGGCAAAGGATTGCTGCATTGCAGGGGGTTGGGCTAGGGGACCCTCATGGTACCTTCCAACTCTACAATTCTTTTATTCTATTATTATGAAGAATAAGAACAACCTAAGAAGAGCTTGCTCAATCAAGCCAGTGGCCCTTCTAGTGCAGTATCCTGCTCTCACAGTGGCCAACCAGATGCCTATGAGAAGCCTACAAGCAGGACCCAAGCACAAGAGCACTCGCCCTTCCTGCAGTTTCCAGCAAGTGATACTGAGAAACGTACTGCCTCTGACCATCAAGGCAGAGCATCACCACTGATAGCCCTTTTTTGTCTAGTCTTTTAAAGCCAGCCAAGATGGTGGCCGTCACTGCCTTCTATGGGAGTGAATTCCATAACTGCACTGCATGAAGAGTGTCATTTTGTCTGTCCTGAATCCAACATTCTGTTTCATTAGTTGTTCATTAGTTAGTGGTATCCATTGCTTCTATGTCATGCATAATTTTATATACCGTATTTTTCGCTCTGTAAGACACACCAGTTTTTGGAGGAGGAAAACAAGGGGGAAAATATTCTGAATCTCAGAAGCCAGAACAGCAAGAGGGATCGCTGCGCAGTGAAAGCAGCAATCCCTCTTGCTGTTCTGGCTTCTGTTATAGCTGCGCAGCCTACATTCGCTCCATAAGATGCACACACATTTCCCCTTACTTTTTAGGAGGGAAAAAGTGAGCCTTATAGAGCAAAAAATATGGTACTTGTATACACTTGGTCTCTTACTCACCTTTTTTAAACTGTTGGACCAAGGCCTAGCCAAGTCTTCTAGAAAAGGGAGTTGATCTATAAAAGCTGTGAATAGGGCAATTTGGGTGTTTTCCAAAAATTAGCATCCAACCAAACCAAAAAGCCAAACCCCCCCCCCCCTTGAAGGATTCATCCCAATACCACCACCACCCCTCTATTTTTCATACACATGTACGTTACAGGATGCTAGTCTTCCATCCACAGAGTAGTGACCCTCCTAGGATTGGTAGACATCACCTCAAACTGCTCTATCCACCTAAGGTAGCAGATGGGGGGGGGCATTTAAGGACTAGCACATTTTCAGCTGCTTAATATGAATATGCTTTTGGCATAGGGGTGCGGCTGTGCTTCCTTTGGGTTTTCTGCTTCCAGCCCGAAAGGATCTTCATCTAGGGCTGTTTTATGAGGGATAGCCATGCAGCTGCATTGCTGCTTGCACTGAGTTTCTGTTGCCCCTGAAAATAACTGCTGGTACATATGTATTTCTAATATAAACAATTTGCTTTTTAAGCAGCATTTGCAAAAGCTGCAGAGATTTCATGGAAGAGACAGAAGGGGTCCTACTTTTGCCAAGAAGCCATCACTCTGCTGCTGCATGTTGAGGTACGAACATTTCCAGCAAGGGTGTCTTCTTGCCCCTCAGCCAACTAAAAACAAGGCAGTCTCAGTGTGTAAAAGACATTGCTTGATAGGGCCAGGGATGCTTGAGGTGCTGAATGTACCAATCACTGAGTAAATGGATTCTCTACAGTGTATGAGAAGCCACTTCTTCTGTTCTCTCTACCCTGCCAGCCCATCCTGGCCTTCATAGCTTTTGTTTGTAGTGTTATAAAAATATGGGAAAATTTGCTTTGAACAATAATGAATAAACACAGTTAGCAAAGAGAGAGCCATTTTGATTAAAGTTGGAGAGGTGGAAGGACAGTGGCATGCAAGCCATCAACTTCAACATCAACTCCCTGATGTTGCTGGGAGTATACAACAAATGGCACGATGAGTGTCCCTGGCAGCTTCCTCTCCCTTTTTCACAGCTGAAGGCAAAGTGGGCAGAAGTGAGCAGCCAGCCAGTGACCTACAACATGTCTAGGGCAGCATCCTGCATCAGATGGCACCACTCTGCCTCCTCTGGATTCTTTTGAAGGATGAGAGGGCAGCATCCTCTCTGGCTAGGTTGTTCTCTGGCTTGTGTAGCAAAGCTGTTGCTGCCTCTGGCTCATCTTGCTCTGCTTTTCTCTGCTTCAAGTCTTAAACAGATACGGTGCTGAGCAAGGAATAGTTCACTGGATACCTTCTTTTTCTTCTGACAGTCCTTGAAAGTTTTCCCCTTGTTGCTTTGTAAATTCTGAGACGCAGACACACTTAAGTGATATGGAGATTCCATTTTCCAAGTAAATTGGTGGAGCTTTCTCTGAGTTCTTCCCATCCCTTCTTGAAATGCCCAGCTACCCTACCAGCTTTATAAATTATTTGTCCTCACATTCAAAGAACTGCAGTTCTTGTGCCATTTACCTTTCCAACAACGTATACATTCCTTTTCTGTTTTTATTTTTTTATATTTTTTTGTGATTAGATCCTTACTGAGAAACCACACTGCTTGTTCACTACCCATTGTTTTCTCAGGCACCGAAATGCCCAGGAACACAAAAACGTATTTGCCTGGGGCTGAAATTTTGACAAAGTTGGCCTCTCTGGGGAAAGCACCCTGTAAATGGTTATGGTATGCCATCCTGACCTCCATTTTGGAAGAAGAGTGGGATCTAAATCTATAAAACATATATGGGGGGAAGGCAATCCTTTAGGCATAGAGGTTCGGAGTCATATAAGGCTTTAAAAGTTAAGAACAGCACTTTGAATTGGGCCCAGAAACAAATAAGTAACCAGTGTAGTCAGGCCAAAACCCATGGTATATGTTCATGCTTTCTTGTTTCAGTTCACGGAGAAGCAGATATATTCTGCATTAGATGTAGTTTCCAAACGGCCTTCCTTAGCAGCCTTACATACAATGCAACGTGGGGATTACCAGAGCTGAAGCCAGACTATCCCTGTCCATATAGGACCACATCTGGGCTACCAGCTGAAGCTGATAGATGCCGTTTGGTGCCACTTATATGGATGGAGCTTCAATTTATTGTCTCTTACTCAGTTCATTGCTGAGGCCAAGCACTGATCCAGTATATCTTGCTTGAGCTTTGAAGGAAAAGTAGACTTGTGTGTCATCAGCATATTGATGACCCAGTAGCAGTTTCAGGTGTTAAAAAAGCATGGGGGATAAAACTAAACACTGCAGAACCCCACATAAGAGGCTCATGGGGCTAAAAACATACCCCAAACAACACCATAGAACAGCAGAACTATTGCAAGACAGTGCCCCCTGTCCCAACTCAGTCCTCAGAGATGATGGTTGATGGTATTGAAAGCTGCCAAGAGGTCAAGGAGAATCAGCAAATACATCATCTACCTTTCCTGTCATTATATAAAGTAGCCAAGGTGGTCTTAGTGCCAAAACAGGGCCTGAAACCCAACTGAAATGGATCTAGTAAATCAGTCTCATCCAAGAGTCCTTGGAACTAGTCATTGACCATCTACTCAAAAATATTACCCAGGAAGGATACATTTGCCTATAACTCTTCAAGTATTCTGGGTCACAGAGGTTTTCCTAAGGAGAGATCTCACTGCTGTCTTTCAGAGAGCCTGGGACCATTGCCTCTCTCAGAGGGATTACCTCCTTGGTCCAGTTGGTGGTCTCCTCCTTGCCAGATATCAGCCACAAGGGTCAAGAATGCAAATGGTCAATGCACCAATTGAATTACTTTATCCACATCCTTGAGCCCTATCAACAGAAACTCCCCCATGAACAGAAACTGGAAATTGACCTGCTACAATAGCAGGTACCAATAGATACAAGCAATTTTACCCTCAAAGCACCTTGCAGATAAATTGCAGCAAACTACTGAAGGTTCTACCACCTTTAGGCCAAAATATGAAAGGCCCTGTGCCACTCTAAAAGTGGTTCTGTTGCACAAGACATCAAGGATGCAATGGAGGCAGAGAAGTAGACTCGTCAATGATCACACCATTGAGTTTGATCTACAACTTGCATTCTTGCTGTCTTCCAACCTGCACAAAGGTAAATATTACCAACCCTCAGTCTCCCATGGCAACATAATGATGCCCTGCCAACTTCTTGGCCATCTGCACTATAAGGATGTTGGCAAATGTACACACACACCACAACCATTTTTCTGCTGTCTGCAGTTTAGGACCAAATCGGATGTGATTCCAGAGAGCCACAAGTGGACCACCCAATGCAACCCAGGTGAGGGGTGGCATTTAACTCCCCTCACAATGTTTATCAGTCTGA